AATCAGGTTAATCTGCCCTTTTGGTTTTGATAAAAATTTCAGACAGTGAGACATTATTTATTTTTGCCCTGTAAAGCCAGCCCCAGGGGCTCCTGCTGCTCAGCACTTCTGCCACGTGCTTGGGCCCCCCTGCTCTCCGGGTCTGGGCAAATTTGAGGTGATTGAACTGACTACAGAATGTGCCCCTTAGAGGAGCCACTGTAGCCCTGTTCCTTCTGACATGATTTCACTCAGGGCCTGCCCAAATCATTTCCCAACCATTCAAACCACAGGGGAATTAACCGCAGACCCTCCAACACAGAAATAAATCACAGTAGCATTGGGGTAGGAGGTGTTGTGTGGGGAGGAGGTATGAGCAGGTCTCCTGGTCATCCCAACCCCCAACAGACAAGAGCAGCTTCTGTTTTCCTCAAGTTCAATTCTGACTGTTTTCAAAGAGAGGCTCCAGTGTTTTCAGGTCTGCAAACCACTCATCTAGTTTCATTCCCCTTACTCAAATGAGGACACTGAAGCCCAGAAAGTGAAGGGGACTTGCTCAGGGTCACATGGCAAGCCAGGGACAGCTATGCAAATGGCCACCTGTTTTCAGATTCCCAGGCCAGTCTCCTTCTGTCATTTAACACACTAGGGTAACACCATCCCGCTATCTTAGATGCGGAATGACCAGGCTTAAAGGCAGGAAATGCAGTTCTAACACGGACTGCAAAGTGTAAAGCTCACTGGGAGTGGCATGAGAGTGTGCTTTAGAGGTTAGGAGGAACCTTGGTAAAAAGCCCCTGAAACCCGTGGAAGTGGCAGCATCTTCCTTCACATAGTTCTGGGATTACCCCAAGAAGCAGCACCATGGAGTAAAAGGGGTGCCAAGGAGGTCCGGGCACCCCCAGTCCTGGTCCTTCTCAGAGGCCTTCAGACCTTGGACAAGTACTTCTACCTCCCAGAGCCTGGTTTCTTCATCTGCAAAGGGACCTGCCCTGCCCGCCCTCACAGAGTGAGGATCACAGCTGGAAAAGAGCTTCATGAACTCAAAGCACAACCCACAGCTAGGGATCCCAATTCTGACTTTAAACAGACTTGTAATCACCTAGAAATCTATTTTTTCTTTTTTTTTTTTTGGCTTAACAGTAAGTATTCTCTTTCCCTTTTATTAGAAAAGAAAAAAAGAAAGCCTAATTCCTGAATGTGGTCAAACATCTATAAGTAAAATGTATTCTACTACACTCTAATACCATGGCCCAGAGAGAACACTAGCCCTCTTTTACAATGTGATGTCCAGAAGCCGAGTCTCCACTGCCCAGCTGGTTAGAGAATGCTGGGCTACCAAGTGTACATTTTGATCTCCAAATGCCCATCCGAGAGGCTCTTGAGTCTTGTAAAGCATCCCCTCTAGGCCTGAATCTCTTTACAGTGGAGAAAAGGCAGGAATAGAAGAGCTACAGCTAACTGCCCACACCCTGGTATGAGCAATGCGATTTGTTTCTGAAGAAATACCACTTTAAAAAAGAATGGTTAGACCGCACACTACACGTACTTTTCCCACAGAGCCATTTTCCTCTAGGACAGCAGGGTTAGAAGGTACACTGGTACCGTCCAGTCCAAATGCCACATTCACAGGTGAAGAGTCCAGAGCCCAGAGAGGGCGAAGGACCTACCTGGGTCACACAGTGAGGTAAGGTCAGGCAGAGGACAGCTAGGACCCTCCTCCCTCCTAAGTCACAGAGCACCCACTAAGAGGTCATAAATGACCGGGGAAGAGTCACAGTTAACACACAGCCTCATTTTGAGCCCTTCAGAATTGCAAACATACCATTATGTGATCTCCCTGGGAGGAGTCATTTAAAAAAGAATTCTTGTGGAGCAATTCATTTCAAAAGTATAAAAAACCACATGCATGTCTGTTTTCCCAATGTTTTTTCCTGCTAAAAACTACATCTGCATATGAATCTAGTTTGCATCTAATTTTAAAAACATACAAAAGGAGTCATCTACAACACAGTTTTCCCAACTCTTCACAAAGCACAAAGGTCGATAACTTGACTTTTCTGTCATTCCATGATCAATGCTTCTAAGAGCCTGGAAAGAAAAGAGCAGAAAATAATTAGAGAAAAGAAGCTTGCTGAGTTATAATCAACTGTGCATTACCCAGAGGTGGGGGGACAATCCTTAACTCCCAATCTCTCCCTGACAAGGCATGGTGCCAGTGGGGAGCGGAAGGGCCCTGTGGAGACCCAAGAAAACTTTTAAGACTGATGATAAATGTTTCAGGCTCCAGCTTAATAAGAGGAAAAACTTCTCAACTATCAGGAAATCCAAACATGGCTGTCTACATGGTGGTAGTGAGCTCCCTATCACCAGAGGTATGTAAGAGATGGCCAATACTGCATGTTGCAGAGGGAACTCAAGAGCTGGGCAGCACTAATCACTTCTGCTCTTAAAACTCCATGAGTCTTCCTAGCTTCGTTTTGTTTTGTTTTGTTTTTAGAGACAGGATCTCACCCTGTTGCTCAGGCTGGAGTATAGTGGCAGGATCATAGCTTACTATATGACCTTGAACTCCTGGCCTCAAGCAATCCTCCCACTTCAGCTTCCAAGTAGCTAGGACTATAGGTGTGTGCCATTACACCTAGCTAATGTTTTTATTTTTGTAGTGATAGGGTCTTGCTATGTTGCCCAGGCTAGTCTCAAATTTCTGGCCTTAAGCGATCCTTCCACCTGGGATCACAGGTGTGAGCTGCTATGCCCTGGCTGTTGGCTTCCTTTTGAAACATCACCTATGACAGACTTTAATCACACCCCAGAATTATTTCTGTCATTTATATTTTAATACATATTATATGTGAAAGTTACATATTTAAAACATGAAACTTATTATATATCTGCATAAAGCAAAAAAGTCAAGTATTAAGAAAACAACTTTAAGACCCTATCTCCTCTTTGCTGACTTCCCATTTCACAATTTGACACTTCTGTATTTTCCTCCCCGTTTCTAGAACCTCTAACTACCCACACACACAC